AGTTTATCCCTCTTTTAGCCTAAGCTAAATGAATTCTCCCTTTAGGCCTTAAGAAATATTGGAGTTCAAAGAATGGTGAAGAAAATCTAAAATAGTAAAGAAGAAAACTCTCCATCAAATACTTTGTTGTAACAGAAACACAACAGAGCAGTGAAACACTACAACACTAAGCAGAGGCAGAATGAATACGGGCATGAAATGGATGGCTTGCGAAGCAATTAGTGAATCATTCACACAACTTAGAGATTCCCCCCAAAAACTAAACTTTGCAGCTGTTTTACAGAGGAAGAACTAGCCAAACAAAAAGGCCTTCAGGGATCTCCCCCTTGCAAGCATATTGCAATCAATGTAGTGGAATCTACCACACATTTTTACACATCACTATATAGCCAATCATTGATCCTTCACTTGCAACAGCTGCCAGTTAAAACAAGTAATATCCTTTACAACAAATAAAAGGTATGCAACACAGATATTAAAAGGCAAAGTGTTACCATGCCCCAGTTCTCAAATATTTCCCAATACTTGCATTATGCCTCTCTATATTTCTTACAGTTTTTTAATGAGTTATTCCCAAAGCTGTAAAAAAATCTTCACTTCCAACCCTACTGTCTTATCTTGCTATCAGTCCCGACAGTGTATTAACTGGAGGCATAAACAGGTTTGATGGCCTGCACAAGGCCTAAAACTTTCTTCATTTCAGTAACAGGTGAAGTGCTTCCTGTTTATTACCAAACAAAAAAAGAAAACACAAACTAGGAAACAAACAGAAATCTCTTGGAGACAATTCACTGTTACTTTGGAGAATACCCACTGTGTTTTTTCCCCTCAAAGATCAGGACTATCTCTCCAGTGATTCAGTTTTACAATATCCACTTACATATTGGACAATTTTAAATGGTGTTAAATAATACATGCTGACATTTAAGATACATTATCTACAGATTTTGAAGAAATGAGGTTAATTATGTTCAAGAAAAAATAAAGAATGATTATCACCTCTCATTTTATTACCCAGATTAAATGCCAGAGTCTTTACTTAATCATTTCCTGTGTATTACCAAGGAGTGTATCTTCCAACTTTTTAATGAGTAAGGTGAACCATAATGAGAAAATCAAGGGTCTGAAATTTAAACTTTGATCTTAATTATATAGAAAAGAGATGATAATCACTCTTTCAGGCAATTACTATACACCTCTCTAATCTACAGCTGTACGGTATGTATTATATCAGAAGGAAACTGAGTGTGAAATGTATTGGTGGTTTAGGAGAACAAATGGAAGAAAGGAAAGTGTTACAATCTATTTAGCATTTTATGGCCTATGCATCACAATTCTGGAAAGAAAAATAGTGCTAGCAGACATAACTGGTTTCTACAAGAGACCTATCTGTTAGATAGGCCAGCCATACAGATGGACATAAATTTTAACATAGCAATACAATAATCTTCTATTTGAGCATTGCAGCATGCTTTGCAAATGCTAATGGATGAATCTTCACAAAATCCTTATGATGAAGGTTACAGAATATTCAGGGCCTGGTCCTTATGTAGCTGTACTGAGTTCACATCCAGGTTTCACACCAGGACCAGAATCTGCTGGTACAGGCTTCTTTCCAAGATTCAGCCTTAACACTCAGACTCATGGGTGTTATGTGCTGGAAGTTCAAATTTACCTGTAGGCATCCTTGACTGAATATAGGAGCCTTATTATAGTCATGCACCTTAGAAACAGCTACTAGCTTTCAGTGATTTGAAAAAAAATACCAAATGATACCAAACTATCTTCCCTTTATGTATTTCCAAATTCTGTTATCATAATTGTAACCTACTGATCCAGAGAGCACGTTAATGCCACACAGAAGTACTCACTGCTGACGAAAATTTACAGGAAAATTATGAACCTCAGTCATCAAAAAACTACTTTATTCTCAGCCAGCAAACCCAGTCACCACCACAAAAATTCTGCAGACAAAGTTGAGAATCCACAGGTAAACCATATCCTGACAAAATGTAAGACACAGGGAAGATGAATCTTCAGCAGAGGCTTGGAGTGACCCTGAAGCAACGACCTCTGCCGAACAGCCAGAGTCTGTTAGATCTTACATGCCGTATTTACCCTCCAACTTAGGGGAGAAAGCCTATATGCACTTAGAAGTCTATATGCACTTAACTAGGCATTTAATTTGCACTGCAGAGACATATTAGGTGAATTTCAGGTTTAAACTCACATTCCCTCTTCCCTTCTTCCCTTCCTTTCTTCCTTCCCTCCCTCTCTTTTTCTTAAATCCTTATCAAATTGCAGTGCTACTGAGATAGAACACAAAAGCCACTTTATATCTGTTAATACTCCACTTTTCCAGATATATATTTTTTCTTTATTTACGTCTAAGTGTATGTTGCCTGGATAAGTAAGTTATGCAGAATCTTCTTTCCAAAAAAATGGATATACAATTAAACAAACATTATTGCCAAGAATGTTGGTCAGCATTCTTTTTCAAACTTTCAATTGATGAAATATAATGATAATTCTATCTGTTGGCTGAGAATATAAGCAAGAAAGTAGGTGCAGCTGAACAATGTGAAAGGCGACGTTTGTTATCAGCCACCAGCACAATTCTTGTCTAGCACTTCTAGCAGCAGGAGCAGGGTGTTTCTCAATCAGTCCCAACAGTACCACTCTGGGACTCAGAAAAGTCAAATATCTGGGAAATGATACCATATATACAACTAATCAGTGTTTTCTGTAAATGCTACATGTTCTTCTTGGACCTGAATATTTTTTTTGTTGTTGAAAGTAGTACTTCTGATAATGAAATAAACTTTAAGATGTCAATTTGGAGTTGTGTGGGTCAAGAAATTACCCTGTGCACGCACACAGATTTCCAATCTTTCTTTCTCAAGAGCTGGGTAGAATTTATTAGGCTCAAATAATCATCCCACAAGGGAGCCTCCCATAACCTCAGTGACAGTTTTCAGTTTTATATCTCATTTGGGGACATCTTTAACTTAAAAAAGGATTGCTGGCAACCTTATTTTAAAGTCTGCAAAAAGCTGCAGAAGAAATAAAACTTCTTTTTCTTCTAGGGTAGAATAGGACACAAAACATGTAACATTACATGGGCCAGGATAGATTTCAAATTTTCATTTTCTTATTTTCATTAGTGTATAGGGTTTTCTAAAAATAACTCCTGTTGAAGCCAACATAGAGAATTCAGTATTGCAAAAGTAAGGATTTGACTAAAAAGAATCAAAGTCTCCATATTATAATTGTAGAAACCACAATCTCTATTCGTAAGTGGATGAACTTCCTCTTTAGCCCACATGCACATCATAAAAAAATAAAACAATTATAAAACATATCCATACATTATGACTTGGCCACATTATTCACTCACTAGGTGCTGACAACTTTGGTAAGTTTAAATTCAGACCTTGCCTCAATACTGTTCTCAGTTATTTCAACTCTTGATATCTAAAAACATTTCATAAGAGTATTTTCTTAGCTTTTTTTCCCTCTTCCTGTCATTTGTGGCCTTGGCTTTCTCCAGGTTTCCAATCCTTTCCTCCTGTCTTCTCTAGTTTCTACATGAGTATATAACCTCATATTCCACTGTAAATATATATGGCAGATTATGTATTCACTGGGATACTTAAAAAGGAAAGCACCTTAGTGTTTCCTTTCTTTCAGATAAAAGTATAAGCTCAAGCGTTCACAACTGTGTGTAATGCTCCCGGTGGTCATTCAGAGAGTCAGTTTGCCTTTGGCACACTTAAAAGAACTGCTTAAAACATAATCATGAGCCCAAGATCATGTTAGAAAATACTACAAAGATAAAATAATCCATGTCTTGTTTCTCCACAAAAAAAAAAGAAAAATATGTTCATAAGCCACTTAAAGAAAAGAGTCACCACAACTGAAGATAAATACCATTGAAAAACCTGAGGTTTAAACACAAACTGGACTTAGAAATAAGTAGCTTTATGTCTCTCTATCCTCTTATCTAAGATCTGATCTGAGTAGAGGAATTTGGGACCGCTCAGCAGCTCAAGCTTGTAAATTTGACCTCACACATAACAATAAGGATTTCTGCTGTCACTAAGGGCAGGTCTACTCCAGGTGGTACAGCTCAGCTAATGTGGTATTTTCATGACTTTAGCAGTCCAATCCTACACCTGTGTTAGTGAAATTCACATAAATTCCTTCTAAATGGGACTGGAAGAAGATCTGTAGGTACAGGGAAGACCTCTACACCCATAGAAGACCCATGCTGAGTTCAGATGGAGAGCAACGAATGAAGCCCTGAGCTGGCCATCACTGGTTCTCCCAGGTAGGCTGCAGGTACGTTCATGACTCTGCTCTCTTCCTCTGCTATACGTTCTGTAGATGTGCAACTTAAAGGCTGACTGTCTCTGAAAGAAATATACACACTATTTATTTTTAAAAGAACAGTGCAGGTTGCCAGGCAGTACCTCCTTTCTCCCATAGAGGTTTCCTACTAACATCAACAGACTTTGGATCATGCCTATAATGCCTTTAGCCATTGATGCTCAAAATTATTTTTTATTTCTTTCCAGTGTGCCTAAAAGCAGTTTTGCTTTATGCATCTTAACTGAGCCCCTCTTAGAAGCTCTATCCATTTATATCAGGGATAAAAAGGAGCATAGGCTCTGAATGAGATCCTCTGTGGGTAGGAATCAGTACAGGTCCTGGAAAGACTGCAGAACTACTCACAGCTACACCATCAGAAGGGCCAGTGCCTCATGCACATAAAAGCACAACGAAGCAGAGCTAGATTTGGCAAGCTCAAAAAAGCCCAGGCATCTCTATCAGACAGCACCTATAACAAAATCTTGCTGAGAACAAGCCTTTTGATTTATCACCTCAAATCCATGAGGTAATTTTCCTACATAAGGTTAAAAAAAATTCTAATTACAGAGTTAAATGTTTTCTATGAAGTACTTTTGCATTATTTTGAGTGATTCTACACAGATACTTACATTATTAATAGAAGGGCATACTGGTTTCGATCCGTGAAATCTTTTGGCAGTGACAACTGTAAAGGGAGTTCTTTTAAGAAAAGAGCAAAACATTAAAGGCTGGTAGTTACACAGATGAAAAACAGTAACATTGTAAGAAAGTTTTTGGTTTGGTAAAATAACATTTTGACAAATTTACCGTAGTCCTCAATGTGAAGCATTTTAATTTCAGTCCTGGAATTCTTTTTCTTATAAACAGCTTCTTTCAACACAGCATTATTTTCCAAAATATAAAACTCTGTAGAAAACAGGAAGAAAAATCAAGTTGAAAGGTATGGAGAATCATCACATCAGAGATGAATCAAGATTCAAAAAAATTAAAGAAAAAGATAAAAATGTGCAATGATAAATCTTGTAAATGAATTCCTTCTGTAAATACTTTTTTTATAATGTAACTGCTTTGCAATTCAGGAACTGAGCAATCAGCTTAATTCAAAACATATATATTTATTCCATTTTCTGGCTTCAGTAGGCTTTGTTTTTGTTAAGCACTAACAATGAAATTGCTGATGAACAACATGAACACTAGTATCCCTGAAAAATACTAGCAGCAGCTGTTACAGGGAAAGGCTAGTCTGCTGGGCAATATCTTAAGCCTCAAGCAGGCATCCTTTTCAAGATACATATTCCAAGTCAGTATTTAGCCAGCACAGCTCTACTTGATCACTGCATGTCCATCTCTGTCTTTTGCACTTCAACCAAGAGCAAGACTTCAGTTGGGTTTAAAGCTGCAGACAGATCTGAAGTAATCCTTTTGCACATGAAAGAATGATTAATTAGTTATTTTTTTTTCTTTTCCTTTTTTACTTAAATTACCGAACTGGCTTTCAAAATGTAGATTTTTATTTATTTTTTTTTTTCTATTAAACAATAAACCCTCCACTCAGGGCCAAAATGGATAATCTAAGGAGAATGTTTGTTCTGGGCAGTCAACCAAAATAGTATAATTATAGTCTGAGGATGGAATAATTGAAGTAATCCTTAATCATTCTTTTATGAATTGAAGAGGATAATCTAATCTTGCACTGAAAAATTAATGGTAAATTATCTCTCTTATTTGTTTTCTTGTTTTTACAACAAACACTGTCCCTCTAACCTGACTTGCTTTGTTTTCCTCTAAGATGCTGTACGTAAATCTCTTTTACAATAATTCACTATCAACAGTAGTTTAGGTGCAAGTAATAAAGATCGAAAGTACCTTCACAGAATTGAGTAGCTCAGTGAATCTACTTTGAGCAATGGCTACCCCTTATTGGGTTGGATAAAACTCTCCCCCCCTTGGTGTGCCATGGCACTGAGCTTTGCAAATACTAACAGTGACATTAAATAAAAAATAATTAGAAAAAAAAAAAAAAGGAAGCCAAAGTGCAGACATTAATTAAGACTTCATAGCATGATACTATTGATCAGTATGCTACTTCAACATGCAAGATTAGGTCCACTGTTATGGCTGAATAGTGGCTGGCCCATGACAAAGGGGATGCAGACAAGTACAGTTCGGGAGTTTTGGATTCTGGGAAAAATCCTGGGGATAATATAATGAATGAAATGAGGATATGTAAAGAATGGTTTAGTGTTTTTGAATAGAAAGATGTCCCCTTTCCTCTAACCCACACCCTCATGCTACATGGAGCCACAGTGGAGTTGGAAGTAGCTCAGTTGTTACCTCTACAGTACCAGAGAAATAACTAAGTGAGGAAAATTGTGCTGCTGAAGGACAGTCTTTCATTACAGACACCTCAATCAGCCAGGAAATAGCAACAGATGTGGTGTCAATATACAGAAAACAATTAGTGAAAACTTGGAAATTAGAGGTATTGAATACCCTCCCTAAAAAGCCTTTATTCTTGGATTTGCCATAATTGAAAATGTCAGTGGAGTTGCTCTCATTAGAGAAATATAAGAGAGAAGGACTAAGTTCATCATATGTAGGTCAGATTTTATGATCAATTGTCCAAGGACTGTACCTTACCTCAAGATAATTGGATTGTAACTTTAAAAACATCTCTAAAAATACAGAAGGTGTATCATAATGGCAGCACAATTTACATAGAAAGTGAAATGAAGACCAACCTCACATCTAATTAACTGAAGTGTAAATCAAAGATGAACAATATGCACTTAGCATAAAACACATACAAAAAGCCTGGGAAAGTTTTAGTCATTTGTCATTAACTTCTTTATCATTTGCACATGTGGAAGTTAGTAAAAGGTAATTAAAGAACTTTATATAAATGAGTCATCTATTAGTTTTCATTTACTTGTAACTGCCTTTCCCTCCCCCCTACTCCCCAAAACTATCAAGGATGATAATGAAATATATCTATTCCATAAGGAACACTCACTTGCAGTATTACTTGTACTGTGCACACTAACAACCGGAACGCCTGGCCCTGTTTTGAGAAGAGGAGAAAAACAGAGGAAGAGTAGGGTAGTGAGTACTCAATATTTCAGTAACAAAAAATGAGAGCACCAGTTACCACATGAGACCGGATCCTGGAAGCCCCATGAACATGCTTCTCCTCAAACACAGAAGTAGCTCCACAGATGTCTCTTGGGAAGGACATGGGTTAAACTACGGTACCAACAAAGCATGAAATGGAGACTGCCTTCTACATGTTCAGCAAGCAGTCTAGACCCCTGTACCCAGAAGGAGCATTTTTTTAATAATCTCCATGTTTTAGCTATAAGTGAAGAATAAAAAAAATTACAGAGGCACTTAATGGCACTGTCTAAAATATAGCAGTTTGACATTCGGAAACAGTAACTAGGTTAACTAAGAAGTGAATTAATGATAATATTCACTTATCTATGGAAAATCTGCAGAGGTGGTGAAAAATTATCACATATTTCACTTAATTATCTGTTTAAGAAGCTCCTTCGGTGTGCCAGCTCTGCAAGACCATCAGCATCACAGTTAAATCTAGGTGTAATGTAATAGAATCTTATTTCATGGTAATGTCAGATACTTTATTTTTACTGTACCACTAAGAAACTAAAAGCACCAAGAATAATTCTCCATGTCAATAGGTACTGTGCACAAGATGGCACACGAAACTGGGGCGAGCAAACATTCAGCATACTCAGAAGTATAGCTGAGATTCCTGTCCCTGCTCTGAGGACCCCCTCATTGTATAAACTTGCAAAAGAAAATGTTGCATCCCCACCCTCAACATGGAATTTATGCATGGGAAACTTAGTTTTATATCAGTGAGACAAGAGTTTAAATTACATGCAAGCAGTCACTATTGGGCTAGAAAGGATGATGTGGAAAAGCTGAAGTCCCTGAAGACACAATGTCAGATGAAGGCACAGACCCTCTGAAATTAGGAGTTAAGACCCTTCTTTTTTGGAGAAAAAAAAAGATTCCCTTTGAGAGCAGTTCAGAGACAGAGCTTAATTTATGTGTTTTGAGTCATCCTGAGAGGTTGTCTCTCTCAATTAATTATGGTATGAGCCTAGGGAGACTTAAATACCTGAAATAAATAGCATGATGCCATTCAGAGCCCCTGACAGCCTCCACTGAAGATTTTTATTTAATTCTCTGACTCAAGGGAGACTATTGACAAAAATCTTACAGGTAGATTGCTGACACATCAAAGATTTCTGCCATAGCTCTTCAAGAAGATAATTTCTTCAGCTGTCTCTTTTTGGTTTGGTTTGTTTCTTCCAGCTCTTTTTACTTCTGAATTTTTCATTTTGCACTGAATTCTGATTTAAGAAAGGCCATTTGGAAAGGAAAGCACTGGCATCTTCTAGGCCAGCTCTATTTGTCTTATTAAAAGATGAAAGGATGATGACGTATTTTGAAAAAGGGACACTACAGTAGATTAAAAATCCAGTCAGAAAAGAAAAAGACAGACTTGTGTAACAGGCACTGTGCTACAGCTCATCAGAACTAAGCACAGCACTTGGATTTCCCATTGACCTTCTATAACTAACACTAAAACCACAAATTATTTCCTACTGTATAAAATGGGAAAAACAATTACTCCTTCATGAAGTATTTTATTTGAATAGAGAGATTAACATCTGTTAGTGTTTATGAAATGTTAAAGGAAAAATCCACAAGCAGTGTGGAGAATAAGTATACAGGACACACTTGCCAAAACCGAGAGGCTGTAGTTGGTCCTCTATCTACTGGGCTAGAAAAAACTCCTCAATCAGGAAAGTCTCTGGAGATGCATACGGCTGGTATACTGAGACAGATTGCCTGGCTGAGGGTAACTAAGAAGGAAAAACTACCCTAATAAAGGTGCTCATGGGTGAACAGGAGGTAGAAAATTGAAACTTGCCTGGATCAAACCAGTCCAGAGTCCCCCAAGTATTTTTCTGGGCAAATTGCATTTGTAACAATTCAGTCAGGCTTTTGTTGTGGGAAAACAAGTGTGTATGCACATAGATGTGGTGTCATCTGTCTCCTTGAAGCAGTTTACCTCGTACTCTTACAAGCAGCTCCCCCCAGAAGAGTTTTTAATACTTGCGCTATGGGGACGTTGCCATCAACTTTGATACTGTCAAATATCCAACCCACAACAGGCATTTTGCCAAGCTGTCGCAGTACATGGGGCCACACTGCTGTTGTAATTGTCAAGCTCTGATGAAACACAAGAGGAGACCTCTGAATAACCCCAAGTTGACAACTATAAATTAATGTTAGAGGTAGGAAAAACTTAATGACAGTGTTTTATCATCCTCGCCCAACACCTGCAGTTTAGGGCAGTCTACTGGTTGCAACTCAGTGGAGTGTAGGTTTAATCCTGGGAGGATGATCTACAGTCTTACCAGCTCAAACAGAGAACTGCCACCTCCAAAGTCACTGAAAGTCATGAACTTGTGAGCAATTTCATGTGCAACCTCGTAGTGGCATACACATTTTTATATCATAGGAAGATGCTAAAAATTACAGGTTGAATATACTTTGCTAAAATAATAACAAGAAGCCATGTTTTTGGGCCCTAGCACATTGCTGATTCAGGGCAAAAAACTCTTCTCAATTTAACAACCCTCTTCTTGCACGAATCTGAGATTTTCCCCACAGGGACTGTGTCAAGTACAAGGGAAAACTTTGCTTAAGCCATCAGGAGCTCATTACTAGTGCAGTCTTTACTTGGATAAGGGCTTTAGTATCAGCTCCATAACTTCTGCTGCAGCTTTAATCATGTATAAACCATACAGTTGGTTATTTTTTTTTTTTTCCTATTCAGCTATGTATTATAGGTGCACTTCCACAAAACAAAACAAAACAAAACAAAACAAAACAAAACAAAACAAAACAAAACAAAACAAAACAAAACAAAACAAAACACAAAACCAAAACAAACAAAAAAGCAAACCCACAACCTTATTTTAGCCAATATATATTCATAGATTGTTTGTTTGAATAGATTCAATTCTCAAGCTGGCAGATATTTTATTTTTGTGGAGAAAATGTACAGTTGCAAAAGAAATAGAAAAAATGCATACAAATAGAATGGGCTATTCACATGTATTTCAGACGAATTGTATTTCACTCTTTGATCTGAGCAAAAATACTGGGAGAACATTGTCTGTAAAATACTGCAAGCTTCAAGGTCAACAGGTCTAGCTATACACTTTATTACTGATTGCCTCATGCTTTTCTGAACCTGTTTTTATAATCTTACTTATTTATCAGTGTTTATTTCCTGGGTGTAGGTTATAAATTTCTCAGCATGGGATGGTTCTAGTCTGCTGTTTATACAGAAATTCTGAACCCAATTGGTGCCATTTAGTGCTACTGGAATGAAGATAACAACAAAAAGCTAAAAGTAATTTATTGCAATTGTATTAATAAAGAGGATCTGTCTATGTGGATTAAACCATACCTATTTTTTGGCAGATACACATATATATGTACATATGTGGATAAGTGTGTCTAGATATACTGTATGCATACATGTATACACACATAGAGACACAGTGTTACAGAAGTCAGGCCGTCATTTTTTAACTAGGTACAGCTGCACAAAATCAGTCTCAATGCATAATATCTTGAAGCTGTTATGAACCACAATACCGTCACTATAAATTCCACAGGTTTTGGTGAAGGATTTTTATTTACAGTGAATTTAAAATTCAGTGTCCTTTACCGGGATTGAAGGGTTAGGATTGGAGCAGCTTTCTGATATCACTTTTTCTTTAGCTTTTACACAGAACATCGTTACTTGCAATAAACTCTGTACGGAATTTTGAGCTTTCCACTACAGAGGTAAATGCTAGACTCCAGCCTAATACACTTCTCAAATGAATATGTTAATTCAGAAGCAAACAAAGTACTATTAGATTCTGTGCATTTAACTTACCTTTACAGTGCAGTAAAAAATGCCTATTCATGGGGCTAAACTTTGCACTGAAATATGTGCACTGGTCTTTCAAGAAGTTACATGAGAGACACTGACGATTCAATGATCCCACTGTTGATACGCTGGGGAAAAAATTGATCAGAAACATTTTTAATTGGAATAAAATACAATAAACCCAGGATTAGCTCATCAGATTGACAAAATTTGTTTCAATCCCTAAATTTACCAAAATATCATTGTCTTATTTTGTGCCTTATAGAAACTGTTTTCAGATGATTCAGCAGACTAATGTTCTGTAAACTTGGCAATGTGGACAGGATCCAAAACCTGCCCTAAGCAGGACTGGGGTTTCAATAACTAGAAGTGCTGTGGGGTAACAGTGTTAGTAGGACACAATGCAAAACCTCACTAACTTCAGATTTAAGCACTGAGGTTTGTGTAAGGAGGAGGTGCTTTGTCCACACACTTTAAATTACATGATTAAACCCCATAAATATTAAGTTTATTTAGAAGATTTTCACTACTTTCAAAAACACAGTCATATTACATGATATTGATTTAGGTTTAGCATTTTAGATACTTATAAAGGACTAGTAAGGACCTAAGTGGTAAAATCTTATCATTTTTTTTTTTTAAAGTAAAATATCATCAGTATTTTTAGTTTTGAAAAAACATGGTTCTTTACTTGTTACAGCTCAAGTGTATTAATTTTTAGACAATATAAATGATTACCGAAGCCCCAAAGCAGTAATTAAGCTCACAGAATGTCATCAGAGCACTTACGGCTTGGCATGAAGGAGCTGTTAACACAGCCCTGTGTACTTCTTACCTATGTAGCTGTCTTCCTCTTGGGGATTCTTCCGTGCTTAAGAAATAACTGTGTCCAAAAGACGAACAAAGTTAAACTCAGTTTGGTAAACTCAGTGATTTATGTGGTGTTTAGAGAAGTGAGAGACATCATAAATAACATTTTTTAAAATTAAAAATTCCCAAATATACATGAAGATCAAATACTTATATATAAACCTAAGCTTCAAGATTAAATTTAGACCCAGTATACAGAGTAATTTCAGTTGCTATATGATTTCATATTAAAACAGTGATGAACACAGTATTTCATGGTTTCTGTTTAATTCCTGTAAATGCCCAAGAGGTCCAGTAGCAACTAGGACCCCTTTCTGCATATTATAAATACAGAAGAGAAAGTTTCTCCTTCATTCCAAGAGTTTGCAATATAAATCCAAGGAGTAGAAAAAGGTCACAATGAAATTATATCATAAATTGAAATTGGTTTTATGATACCTGAAAGCCTTTTTGAGCTGTAGAATTACTTTTTCTTCTACCTAGAGACAGAAGCTAGCACTCTAGGCAACAGTTACAGATGAGGTTGCATGGGTGGAAAGAGCCTTAGCAGAGCTGCTGCAAGAATATCAAGACAAGTCCTTGGTGTGTCCCTGATGAGATCCCCACAGTTTCTGCTTGAGAGGCAGAAGGAGGGTAAGGAAGTCCTCTCAAGTGGCTGGGACAACCCACATGCAGTCTGACACCCCTCTACAGGCTGAGGGCATTCAGACCTCATTTTTTCATCTAAACCTTGGAGAAGTATCAAGAAATTATCTACATATATATTTTCAAAACCCATTGAAGGACTGGTCAGAAAGGGTGTTTCTCCAGTCCCAGTGGAGATGACAGTATTGTTGTAGTCTCAAAAGGGTCCTTCCTGAAATACTATCTGTTCTAAAGAAAATCAAAATTAGACACATCTGTTTATTTTTTGCCATGTGCAGATATATGTGAAGATTAACCAAGATCCACTGATGTTATGTGGAGCCTTCAGGTATTTTGTGTCAGTTCTGTACTGCTTCCAAAAATCACCAAGTATGTGCTGCATTTCCTTCCCACTACAGCGCTAAGATGGGCTTTGGAAAGATTTCTCTCTGAGTGAGCTGGGTGAGAATCAAGGATTTGAATAATCTCTTCATATAATTTGAATTTATGGGGTTGAATCAGATCCCCAAAATCCAGAGTCCTCATACATTAACCAAGCATGCTTGAAAACTGAAGATTTGGGGTTTTATCAAGTACTAAAAATTTACTATGACTTCTTATCTGGAATCCAGGAAAGAAGTCACCAAAATGTTATTATTGCTGGACTATGTGTTGATTTCTTGTATTTAAAAAAGTACAGTCAACTGATGTCACATTATGCTCCTTCCGTCTCTGCATAAAAATACAGGCAGTAATACACTGGCAGATAAATTGTCTTACAACTGCACTTTACAAACTCAGAAGCATAAAATTGATGGTAATGCCCAAAAATGAAAGAAATTGTTGCTTAATTTTAGATAAGCTATTTCCAGTTAAATGGATTCTACTTTAATAACTCAGAAATTTTCATAAACAAAGAGAATAGTGCTTACATCTTTTGAGTATTTTCATCATATGCTAGGATTTTGATAACTTCCCAGTTTCCCGATGTCAGGTGTCTCACACTGATTTGTTCACTTTTAGCCTGGAGAGGGATGGAAAACATTAACTCTCTCTTACCTGTTAGTTTTCTTTGCCTAGCAGTATTGTCTGCACATGTCATTACTGATTACAGATTTTTAAACTTTAATATGCAACATAACATCTTTAAGTCACAAACCTCACATTTTGACGGACCTGAACTTCAAGTATCCTCTCTCCCATATATAAAATTTTCAGTCATTAAAATCATTTCCGTTTTCATCACAATTTTTCTTCCAGTTGCCCATACGACAACAAACAATACAAGTCCTATAATTCACTTTAAGGGTGTTGTCATTACACATACTTTGTTTCTCTTAGTGTTTCTTTTCCTCTACAGTGGCATAGCAGGAAAATCTGACTCAGACCCCTGTAACCAAAACTGCACCAGAGTGTGCTCACCAAGCTCTCACACTTCTCACATGCTTGTACTGAGCCAAGATTACTGTAAAGGTGCTGTGCCAGGAGAGGACATCAACACCACCCCCATCCGAGGAGGCAGGCAAACCTCTCTGAGAAATGCACTGCACAAACTCAGACATAGACGTTCACAGAATCTAAAGCTAGGTAAAGCCCCTGCTCCATCCTGCACTCTGGAGAAGCCTCTCTTTATCCAGGGTCTATAAGGAGAGTCTACGATTAGCTCCAAATTTTGGTAACTGAACTCCTTGCTCATTCTCATAAATTGTTTCTATCCTAGTGTGAGCCTAGAAAAATAACTGCTAGAAGGGGAAATTCAAAACACCTCTTGAAGAAAGGGATGGAAGTTTTCTTAGCCAATGCACCAAGGACTGAATTAGGAAACACCAGGATGCACTGCGTATCTACCTTCAGGTAAAACCAAACTCTTTGGCTGGAAGCTGCAGCAGACTCCTCGTCAGACACAGGTTAAAAACAATGAAATGTAAAATTGAAAAGCTCACTTGAGACTTCTTCCTAGTGTGAAAGGTAAAATTCTTGCTTAGGCTTCTGAAGATTAAAACTTCAACCATGAACATACTTGAAGAGTGTTTTTTCTGTACTAGGATTATAATGCTTGGCCTGGATATAAAATTCCTAGCTTTAAAATTCAAGACAAATGTTGTAAAGAAAATAAGTGATACTTCAGCTTATATTTCAGCTTTAGTGGGTGAAATTGACCAGCTAGAGTTAGAAAGGAGGTCAGAGGAAGGATTTAATTGTGCTTTCTGGCCTTGTGTCCTGTCAATCTGGAGCACCAGTACATAGCTAATCACAGAGGCCTCAGTGGTTATGTGGCTTACAAGAAGTCATAAAGAAAAAGAAGTTTGTTTTTTTTTTTTTTCTTTTAATTCCCATATTTATGAATGGTATCTTGTAAACTCTGAGCTCTACATCAACAGCAGCAATAACTAGTAAGCAGAAAATGCTCAAGGACACTTATGAGACATCTGGAAATGCTAAGGCAGAAAGAAATCCCTTAGAACTGATCTGTTCTCTAGCAGGTCCACAAGGAGAGAACGATGTAGTAACTCTATGACAAGTCTTGCAAGTACCAACTGAAATCAGGACATTGTGCTAGGTGCTGTACGTATGTTTATGATGACAGTTCCCTTGTTCAGGAAGGTTCTCATATTCAGTGCTGTCTCCGGGAATGATTAAAATACAAATTAGTGATTTATTATAAGTGACTATTTCTCCTCTAGAGAAGCTGCAACTATTGAAAGAGATATTTAAATATTGAAATCACAGAATCTAACAAGAAACAGCAATAAAAAGCCCAGCCAAGTGTTAATAAACATAGTTATTTTTCAAGGTTACAGCCATAATACATAATTTATGAAGCCTGTAGGAAGTTTTTGCCTTGATCCATTAAAGTTACTTTATAATTCTTATTTTGTGGTTGGAAAAAAGAGAGTTTTTAGAGTTGCAAAACCCCAACTAAGAAATTTCTAGATACATAACATATGCTTCAATCCCATTTTGAGATAGTTTCTTTTAAATATTTCATAAGTTTCTAAAAGCATTTGAAAACAATAAAACACACATCTAGACCTCTACATTCAGACAGTAAATAATGTATGATAGACAGTAACCTTTTAAACAGTAACCTCCCTTTGCAAGAAGATTTAATTAGATGCTTCTGCTAACCTGCTTTGATTATATCATTGACGCTTGCTTTTCTAAAGTACAAAGAAATGCAGCCCAAGAAAGACCATCATTTGTCGGCACTTGCAAGACTGACAAATAAGCCTCAGTAATCAAATTAATCTAAGGCGAGATATTAAAATTTATTTATTTGTCACTGTACATTCACGTTGGTGCTGTGTTTTAATTTTCCTGCACTTGGATATCTGTACTGAGGAGTACAGAGAAGTAACGAGAATCTGAATGACAAATTCCAACATAAACTGAGCTCCATCACAAAAGAAGTGATCACCTGGGTACCGGAGACCTGCTGACTGCTTTAAATTCTGCAGGGCACCTGTTACGCCACGGTGGCTCTCACAAGGTGTGACAAACATCTGATGTGACAAAAGACTCTATGTGCAATGGTTAATATAATTTTTATGCCTCCATGTTTGCTTTAGAAATAATGGACAATCAGATTAATGCACTGTGTAAAATACATCATATAAACACATTTCTTGCCCTTTATTGCTCTGTATCAGCCCCATTACCATGCAGAATGTTGCTTATCGATGAATAATGGTGGATACATGGGATATCACATTTCCTCTTCTTCTCAGTAGCAGCTATATACTTCAAGCCAAATTGGTCATCAGTGATACCATTCAGACTTGTTTATTCATGGTCACAGTGACCAAAATAGAAGTATTTTTGATTTCTGGAGTTGTGCAGTACTGAGGGCTCTAATTCTGCCTGTAAAATACTAAACTCTTAGTCATAAACTTGACTTTAAACATTATTCTGGTGGGATTAAAACATGTATTTAAAAGTAGGTATATATTACATTTTCTTGTTGAATAGAAGTGGACTTTGTCTTTTGCTTAAATATTTTCCTGAATTAGAATCAAGTTTCCTGGGCTCTTTAGTAGTGAAAAATGACAGAGCATACAGGTTTCAGGTAAATTTGATTGTATCTGTAATATCCTTGGTAATGTTGCAAGATAATTTTCAGATCTACATAATTATTATTTCATGTATTTTAAAGATACTTACTCATATTGGGAAAGAAACCAAAATAAAACTTGATTGACTAGATGGTTTTGCTCTGGTGTGAATTTTTGTGTGGCTACTATATTAATACACCTTTACCAGATTGTCATCTGAGTTACTGTTTTCTTTAGAAGATAGGATTTGATATGTCTTTGGTCCCTTTTTTTCTTCTCTGAATTGTTCTTGATATATTGAATGAATATCTTGTTCTTGCTTCTTCAGGTTAAATTTTCATTAAAGTTCTTTTGCTCTTGTTCTGTCTGCAGTACACTGTGAACACATTTCAGACTTAATAATGTTCATACCAGAACACTGTCATAAAGAGAGATAATGGAGTTGCCTGGTGCCAAGTCTGATATTTTGATGTTTTGGGTTCCTTGATAATCCCTCCTATGTCATATGGCTCTGCTACAGTACCTGGATTAATGCTCTGCTGATTTAAATAGATGCCTTGGAGTGTTCCGTTCCAGGGCATAATTTCCTTTATTAGTTCATCACAACTTCATACTGGTGACCTTCAGAGTCATAGTGCATATTTATCTTCTTTCAGATTCTTCTTTGGAAAAAGTAATGACCCCAGGAAATGGAAACCACTGGAAAATGTTGCGAAGAGTAATAAAAGAGTCCTAATTGTCACAAAATTTAAAGTTTTTGGTATTGCCTCCCTTTACTGTTGTGTGTAAGACTAGATTCTGAATATTCTGAACTGACATTTAAAATCACACTTATGCATATGTAGAGTATATATTGAGGGTAAAATGAGCACTTCTGCAGGTCTCTTGAATACCTGTGGCTATAAAATATTATTACTGACAGAAGAGTTTAACAAGAAAACATCTCTGCTTGTCTACAGATGTACAAAGAAAACATGAAATCTTCCAGAAAGAGTACTTTGGAAGTACCTTTCATTTACAGATCTTATGTGTCATCACAGCATAGGTCTAAGAAAAAAGAGAGCTCCACTTATTCTGGAAGAAATTATAAACATGTCTCTGCACTGAGTAACAACCTGGACATGACAAATGACCACAACACAAGTGTTCAGACTTTACTGAAGTTCAAGTCTTTGCTTGGGTCATGTGTCCTCACTAAAAGTCCTAGATGACCACTAAGATATTAAAGATGGCCTGAACCAAAACCTTACCTGAACAATAAACATGGCTATGTGGTGAAATTCACCCCGGCCTCCCTGCTTTACTGGGACAGTCATGAAGAACTTATTGCCATCCTTGGAGAAAACTGGTTCTTCATTCTATAAATGTAAGACTGTGTTAGTATGTTACACTTTCCGCTAAACTTCTTAACTAAACATCAGGTTCGGCTTTTTGTCTCCTTGGTTTTGGTAGTTGCTGTGTTCCTAAAACAACTGGAGAAGGATCCTTAGAGTTTAAATATATTCTGCTAACAAAAATGTGGTCGCTAAAGCTAAATGCAGTTCATGCCAGTAGTTACTATTGTGTAATCTTGTCCTAAAGCATGGGTTACAGACCTTGCAAAACTCTCCCTCCCAATGCAAGGTCTGCTAGTCTCATCCCTAATGCAGCAGGACATTCCAGAATACATTATTTTACAGACATACAATTAATGACAGAGATAAGTCCTACTAGTGATAAGGAGAACAAATGTTTCCATGGCCTGGACTCAACAAAACATTACTAAGTACATGCTTAACACTCATTGATTTTGGTAAACTTGTAGGAAAAGATAAGTACATTGAAGTGATATTCTGAATCATGGTCTTACCATAAATTGTAGCCTGATGCAATACCATCTCTCAATGTCTAACTTTACACAGAAATATTAAAGGAAAATGGCTTGCTATAAAAGCATAGTTTATTTTTTTTTAAATGATTTCTCATTTGCACATTGCAAAATGAAGCCTGAAATGTATTTTAAATAGAATGTTTTTCATCCAGTTACTGTACAGCTCTTTTGAAGCTATGAAAATGGAATAATTTGCTGACATATTAGTTCAACATATTGTTCGGGGTATGAATTTAGAAATACTATTCTTATGCATTCCAATTATAGCCTGTATGACCTCTAATCTTTGAACTCCTTTGGGTTTAACTTGGTGAAGTTATTTTTCAATCTGAAAAAAATCAGCGCATTATATAGGACATGTTTGGAATGGGATTTGTCTGATCTATCCTTAACCATCCAAAAGTTAGGTAGTTAAGCAGCTGGTCACTTAAGTGCTTACTTAACTCAATGCAGAGATATTGGGAACTGAAAGGCATTTTGCCTCCAAAACCTGGACAGGTGTCTCAGTTCGAAGGGCTGAATTGCTCACTGGAAGGAAGTGTGTAACTCTTCTCACCACTGACATGGTCAGCTAGAGAGCAAAATGTCCTGTATGTGATGCTAAGTGACAGGATTCCCACTACCAGAGAAACAAGCTGCCATTTGAATGTTTCAACAGACGCTGCTATAATCCTCAGCTGTGAAATTAATTTAGGATCCTAAAAAGTATTCAATTTTAAAAGGAATGGATTTTAATAGCTTATAAGATAACATATAATTAAATAAAAATGACAATGAAGCAATTACACACTGTACATCCAGAAATAGCATTTATACTATACCTGTTTAGGAAGCCACACGTCTGACTGCATTTCATATTTCTAAAAAAGAAAAAAATGTTTTTATGGAATAGCTCAGAAATATTTCCCAAATTCAGCAAAACGTCTCTAGCTATTTCGTGTTTTTTTTTTTCTACTGTGTTACAATCTTCACATCTCTTCATTGGCATTTACATTGAAACAAATGATAATTTAATTACAAAGTCAGCCACTTCATTCAGAGTTTTTGGTAGAACACCACAGGGAACCTAAGAATGCCTTTTTCAGTCCTTTCTGATTAGCTATTAAGGAGCTTTACACAGGCAGTTCTATTTGTTTTTTCAAGCTCAAATTGTGAGACCTTTTCAATTCACAGTCCCTTGCTTTAATGGGTTGTAGTGTGGCATTAGTGAAGAGAAAAAAAAATAAATGCAAATGATTGTTCTTTATTGATCACACTCATATTTCACATCATGCTACCTAAAAAACCTCCAAATACCACGTACACATAGTTGGAAAAAAAACATAGAATATACGTCAACTGTTGTAAATTGTCACAGTCACACTGAAGTCATGAAAATGTATTAGCTATAGAAGCATCTGTACATATATGGCCTGAAAAATGAAAAATCTGTAGCTACTAGAGCAGCTGGTTTTATATGGTACTTTTTGGAATTGAGAACATATGCAAAATGCTAAAAAAAAAATATAAAAGTTTATACTTGAAATCAAATGATGTGATACAATGTTAAATTCTCACAATAAGGCCTTTCCTCATCCATTACTGAATCCAAGTGCATCACCTTACCCCAGTGGATGCAACATAGGAACCATCCAGGATCAGAGGCATGAGCGTGATCTGAGCTGCCCTCACTATGGTGACACTGCGTTGCTATCCTTCCTCACCCACCTGAAAATGTCCTTCACTGCACTTTAATTTTTCTAGAGTGGGACTTCTGAATCTCTCTCTCCTATATTATGTCCTGGACTACAACTCCCTGGATATCTACTTCAGACAAGTCCCATTGACCTTGGAGCACATAAAGGTTTCCTGTCAGAAGCGACTGCTCACTGGGGTTCACGGCTGACTTTCTTAATAAAATGCCACCAGGCTTGCAGGAACCAGGTAAGAAGCAGCCCAATCAACAAATCTCCATGTTCACAATCTTAATCCATAGTTTGGGGACTTATTCACAGCTTCTGAGTCTGGAAAAGCAACCCGCATTATGTAGCAAAAGAAGCAGACAAGCTCACTTTAACACGACTGACTCCAGTAGCAGACACTGATGGGAGCCTTTTTGACTCAGAGGCCAAACTTAGACCTACATTAATCACTCATAACCATTTACACTGCCAAATTATACCCTCTACTTTGGAGCATCTGTTGGTACTGATATTAGCATGCATGGAAAATGTTTATGCTTTTAGCTGGTTCTGGGAAGAGATCGTGACTCAGAATGGGAAAGTGGCCAACTGCATTCAAGATGCAAGATTGACTGTGAAAATGGAGAGATGTAATACACGAGTGTCAGAAGTCAAAGTCTGGGTCAGGGGATGGGATGTGCCTGGATACAAATAGAAAAATGTATTTCAGCTTGGCTTACATTCAAAATGAAATACCCCTGTTGCCTTTCAACTTCATTTTATTCTAAAGTTATTTAATTATGCTATTGAATTTGCAGGAATTATCAGAAATTTACACCTTTTCCTTAAACGTATGTAAGCTGTGCGAGGCAGAAAGATCTGAAATGAAACTCTGTAGAGGGAGAGAGAAGAAACCAGGCAGCTGAAAATATCTGATGGAAGACAGGCTTGTCACTGTGCTAGCTATATCCAAAGTACATGATGTTCAGCAACTGCAGTTTCCACTGAAGTTAATGAATGAACAAAGCTTAGTAATTCTGAAAATGTCACTCAGAGTCGCTAATTGCATGAAATCATTTCACCAGATTTGGAATTTTCTCACATCCATTTCCTCCCTGTTGACTAATTATATTCAGTTTGGAACTACTGCATCTGCAAACTGATTTCCGAAAATCTTTTTCTGAATATGAAAAGAAAATGCAGGAAGAAACCTTGAAAAGAGAGCTTATGAAAAAATTCAACTTACCCTGCTGCAAGCCCCAGTCGTGGTTTCACAAACCGTAAGGATGGAGATATTCTGAGGTCTGTTTAACCATCTCACCACAGCTTTGGTGTTGCTTACCCATTTCACCATTGTGATGTAATATTCCCTACATAAACGTGTGAAAACATAATGTTCAGATCATTCTTATTTCAGATTAGACTTTTTTAAAAAATATATATACAGTTCATCAAATTCTGGATTTGCACTGCATGACAGTATCAGTACCGAGGGATGGAGAAAATAACCCCAAATGACCAGCATCTGTGTTCCTACATGTAGGAAGGCTCAGTCCTAGCACACTGTTCCTCTGGGAAAATTGTACTCCATTAGCACCTTCTTCTCAGCCATTTGTAATATATAAACTTTAGCAACTGCTAAACATATACTTGTGAAATATGTGTTTGTGAATACCTATGAACCATGTACTTGCCATCCAGCTTAAAAACAAGCACTAAATTCCAACAGAAGACAATATTTTCCTGTACCAAATACCTTCAGAAGACACAGTTTTGCAAAAGAATCCAGCTTTACTGTCAAAGGAAAAAAAAAAATAAAAATCTGTAAGTCTGGAATGTTAGAGTGCAGGCAAGACCACTTTAAAATGTAACTTGTTATAAAATAACAAGTATTTTATAAAGGAACTTCTGCATAAAAGGGAAGTCACACTTGGTATCAGAGCGTGTCAGCTTCACTTTAACAAATAGCTCATAATATTGGTCAAATTGTCTGTCCCTCAACGACCCTGGCTGAGCAAAGGAGGCTTCCTAGGCACAGACTCATGCTATGGAGCATCTGCCTCCCTGCTCCCAAAATCCTGCTAGGCTGTCAGACTGGGGATGATACAGAGGAAGACCTGCTGCAGCTTGTCATCCCAGCCAGGCTATTTGCTTCACTTCCCTACTTGAGGCAGCCGGCAGCCTTCATTGTCCAGCTGAGTGCTGTGCAACAGTGGAGTGAACTTGTCTGGAAACTCAGCCCCCCCTTAAAACAACGGGCTTAGCTTGCATATAATTAGGCTTTTAATCTGATACTGATGGAGATCTCATTACTCTTTGACAACACATGTTTAATTATACATTCAAAAGACTTCTTACTAGATCAAAGATGCTAAGCACCGCCAACAGCAAAGTTGTGTACAAATCTGATGCTGCACACAGGGGTTGCAGGAGACAGCAGCTCACTGCAGCTTCACCCAGCCTCAGTCTGGTACTATATTTGAAGAACATAGCTGAACAACCCAATATGCTCAACTTTCTTTTGATTTTTATGTTTGACTTTTAGTAAGATATTTTCACATGTACGTACCAGAATGATGACTAGAAATGGTGACTTCAGGTATATTCTGAGACTAATACTTATGTTTTTTGGTTTAAAGAGCTTTTTAACATACTGAGGAGAAAAAGCGTATGCCAAAAATAACACAAGATCTGACATGAGACCAGGTGACACAGCCAACAAAGCAATGATCCAACAAACAAACCAGAGAGTGCAACACCAAATCTCAGGTAACTCATTCCCCATAGAAGAAAAATGAGTTGCAAACTTCTCCCTCTGCAGTCGTGCATGCACAAGGCTTCCAAAACCATTGCAACTGTGTATACGGAAGCCCAAAGAGAGCCGAAATGAAATGTTCAAAACATGTATATGTGTACTGCTTCCCTCTACTGATACTCAGACACCAAGGTAAGACAGCATCTACTGACAGCAAAACACAAATTATCCCAGAAACAAATCCTACAAAACAGAGCCTGAACTGTTTCATTTGAAAAAGTCTTCAATGAAGGAAGCAGGAGATTTAATCATAGAGAATCCAGCTGATATAGCAATTAATAGTCCAGATCAAACCATGTCATCTTCCATCACTGACATAAACTCCTTGATCACTGAAGTGAAAGTAAAATGTCATTTAAAAAATATTTTTTTTCCCCTTTACATCAACTATACATAAAAATGTGTTCAAATTTCAACACATTATGACTTGTTTATCAGGAGTGTAGTATAGCATGTGTGTATATATATATATAAATGTAGAAACACATGCCCTTCTGAAATTAAATACTGTCTCCATTTAATGTTCCTTTGTAATTCACAGTTTTGCAGTTAATCTGTTGTTTCACATATACAGTGCACATGCACACATACAGAATAGTAGAGTTGTCACAGGTCAACAGATATAACCAAGTCAAAGTTTGTAGAAGAAAATTGTATTAGATTGGCTGATACAGTTGACTAAAAACAGAGAAGCCTGCAGGACAAAAGCTGGTTTAGTTCTGAAGAGCTGTTATCAGTTTGTATCTCCCAACTAATGAGGCTTGTTTTGCAACTATTGTTTGAGTAATGAAAATAAGCACTCTATCTTTCCCTCCAAACCCAAATACAGAAGTGTACTGGGATTACTAGACCGTCTGCATCTGTACATACATTAAGTTTCCTCACAACATCACTTTAAAGAGGAAAGACTATGATTGCTTTCTGCACAAAGGACTGAAGCAAGATATTAAATAAATATTTACACTCATTTTAGATCCTCAATTTGATACCCATTTTATTAGGTGCTCTACAGCACTTTACATGTTCAGAGAACAACTTTCATCCTTGTTCAGGAACATTTCTTAATCAGACTGTCGATTAATTTACTACATGTCCAAAGAGTAACAAACACAATTACTCTTCACCTATGCAATGTTAGTTTAAACTCACTGTATCGCACAGTGGCTCTGCAGCAGAGACAGAATCCACTTTTAGCATTCAATTGGCCTAATAAGAGTGAACTTTTCTCTTTTGCTGTGACTTGTCTTATTCGAGCTGTGTCTCCTCACCCCACTCCTTTCTTTTTCCTACACTTTGTGTAGTCTGCTCCAGGTTCCTCCTTATTGATCCCTTTTCTCGCAGTAGGGCCACTATAGGATGATCAGGGGAACCGTAAAACCCGTTTGCTGATACCCATCTCCTCTATCCTCACCATCTCACCAGGTCTCAGGTTTCCCAATGAAATCCCTGATTTTCAAGAAAACCTTGCTCAATCTCTGCCTCATAGACCTGCCTTTTTGGTTTTTAGCTAGTCTAATCAAATTTTCATCTCAGAATTTTTAGACTCTCTTCCCTCTCATCTGCCCCAGGATTTTTCCTTTCTAAATTCCGAAGAGTTAGCTTTCTTCTCTGCTCTGTATACAAGCAGAGAGAAAACACTGAAAACACAGAAAAGGCAGTCTTCGTCCACAGCGCATGCCATGATCAGTCACTATTGAAGGAGTTTGTATGTAACTCTATTCTAACTTGGATTGAGCCAGGGAATGCATAGAAACAAGAGCTTTAAGGTCCTTGACCAGACAGAGAGCTACTTATGATTCCACATTTGGTATTTAAATCTCTGTTTGACTTCAGATTGGCCTAAGGCAATTACATAAGGTAATCAGTATAAAGAAGGCACAGCTTTCCCTTAGACCTGTGAACCAGGAACATGACATGTATACAGTCAGCTCAACAGTAGGAGCTGGAACGTCTCACGTATGCCAAGGACATGTTGCACACCAAGAAAAGTCAGGTCTTGAGACCCAAGGGAGATAGAGGATATTCAGTGAGAAAAAAATTTCCAACTGTAGGTGTTAAGAAAGCAAATGTTTCTCCTGAGCGTATGGCAATTAACTTTATTACAAAGACTTGTAACTTGATGAAATCTGGATTCATTTTTCACTGCTGATAAAAAACATGTAAGGCATCAGAGGAGTTTATCATCCTTTGCCAAGCCTGAAGACCCAATTTTTTTTAATGCTTCTTTCTTATAGAATGTTTCCCTTTATTTTGATTATCTCAATTGATACACAGTTCTATGGAGGTAGTTTATCAGTTTGCTAATACATTTATCATCACTCAAGAATGTCCAGCATGTCTTGTTTCACTTGTAAGTTTTGGTATGCTTATGTCTAGAAGTATATGTGTACCTTGCTGATTGTGACTGTAAGTGCTTAGCAAAGTCAACAGAGACAAGCTGAAGAAAGGAGAGGGATTTGCACTGCATAACACTGGAAGTATAGTTACAATCATAATTAAATTTGAATGTTATATACTTAGATTTGAAATAGACTAACATAATGGGAAAATAACACACAGTATTAAACTTAAAAGTAAGAAACTGTTCAAGGCAGAGTCAAGCTTTGCAACTTCATACCATTCACTGCAATTAAGAAATCTGCTCTAACTTTAAGCCAATGATGTGATTACAAGAGAAATCTGCTTATAACTGGAAAACACTGAATGTTTATGGCAATGGAAAAAGGAACCATACTTTTGTTGATGGTTTTAAATAGATTTGGATAATAAATACAACAGGGTTCAGCTAAAGAAAGCCTACCTATCATGCTCTACTAGTTTGCTTGCAGGCTGTTATCCAAGAAGGTAAACAACAGAAACTTGCTCCATGCACAATGCTCTAGAATATTTACCATATTATTTAATTATTTATACTGTGTATTGAAAAGCATATGAAAATTTATAGATACTAATAGAAAGTGTAATTCTCAGAAACACACATGGAAAACAACACAAATTGAGACATGACCCGCAAGGTAGATAACTACAGTTTGGTAGTGTTTTGGTATACTATGCATGACTTTATCTATGTATACATTGATGGATGTACTGCAGTTTCCTTCTGAGATTAAGCCACAGGTATTTGGTTGGAAGGAGCTCTTCTAGCTCCCCTTCCCATGGGTGCTGGTGGCCACCATCCTGGTCAGGCTAACAAACTCTGCTCCCCATTTCCTTGCTGCCACGGGCCCTGGCCATGATTGGTAGCCCACTGATGGACTCTCATTGTCCTTGAATGCCCAAATTGGTGTGTGTGATGGTCTGCCTTTACGTGTGATGGACAGAGCAACCTCCCTTGGTCTCCTGGCCACAATCCTCCTAGAGTGGTCTAGCCTTGGTGACAATAAGTGTGTGTTGCTGTTTCCTATTCAGCCCCAAGCACAAATCCCTCAGCAGGATGGCTGGGCAGGCAGCCGGGTCCCAGCCCCTGCTGACCTACAGGCTTCTCCTGGCCCATGTGCAGAACTTGCATTTCTTCCCACTGAACAGGGAAGAGAATAATCAATTAATACCTTGGCATTGTGTGGGAAAGCTTCAATAAAATAAAGTCTGTGAATATATTTTTTATCCTGTAGACTTTGGCTGATTGGATTACAGCCATTTTCTATAAGGTATGATAGTGAATTAATCCTTTACATTAACCTTGTGAGATAGGTATTGTTATTGCCAAGTTACAGAACAGGGGAGGGCCAGAAGCATGAGTGACTAGACATAGCATATCTGAAAAGCTGAAAGTAAGCCTGAGTTTTCTTAATACCAAACTGCATAGGCCCCATCTTTCCAATTTCCAGTTAGAATCAAATAAGCTTTATATTCCAAAGCAAGGCTCAGATAAACTGGCTACCAAAAATAAAACCAACCAGAAATACAAAACCAAGATTCAAAAGGTTATTTCAAACTAGAAATACATAAATATCCAAATTATTTTGTTGATTTGGAAATGCATGGATAATGAAAACATTGTTGAGGCTTATAAGAGCATTATTTGAATTTATGCAAACTCAATTTCTTAATTATTTTCTGTTCTATTATAAAAAAAAAAATCAATAAAAGTTATCTAAATTTGTCACACAAGGTCAGAAGTGTCTGACTATATTTCAGTCTCTTTAAAAGCAGGTATATATGAAATGAGAATGTGGACATCTAGCATTTTTCAGGCATTGAAATACTATTGGAAACAGTAAGGAAAAGGACTGACTTAATTTCTTATAGTGCATTTTAAAACTACCTGGTCAGCATTGGCTGGGAACAGTGCAGGGCCAATGCAGCTTGCTCACTACGCTGAGAATAAGGGAAGCAAGCAGTGGATGACCCCCACACTGAGATTTTCAAGAGCCAATACACAGTTCTAGCAGAAAAATCTCTTCATCATGTATGGAAGCACAGCTCTACTCTAATAAATCAACTGCAACTTCATTCATGTGTTATTTCACTTTTTGTCTATCTTAGCAATTTCCACTTTGGAAAGCAAATGAAATTTTTCTGCCGGACAGGTCTAAATTCAAGCATGGGTTTTGAAAAATCAGCCTGCATAATTTCTTAATATCATATTAATATCTTGTATCTAAATATCACCAGTTACAAGGATTCTTCAGGTGTCTTAAGTTACAGTGGTTTGAACTGAACTTGCACATTCTGTTGCTTTTTCAAGATTTGCAGCAGGAGGTGAATATTAGCTTTCCAACTGGAACTTCAGGAGCTAGCAGTGTTTGAATGCACACATATTTCATCTTAGATGTATATTGGCTTTCTAGAACTAATGAGAAAAAACCCCTGCAGTACAAAATCATGTTTGCCACTGAAGAAAACATAATGTAATTGTACACATGGAATAGAAACACCAAGGGGCAAAAAGTAATTGTACAGAACACAACCACACGTTTAAAGGAAGACTGTCAGTCTTTTTGTGTCATTAACAGTGAACAGTAGATGGTAAATTTTTCCCCAGAATAAAACTCTCAGGTGTAAATTTACAAATGTTACTGCTATCTTTATATCAGAATAACCTGAACAGAACATGGGAAATATTACTAAGCACCTTTATAGAATCACTGCAAGCAGTAGATGAAGGTGGAACATTGAATTTACTCAACTACATAAAATTCCCAGATGCCCTAAAAATCAGAGAAACAGTTTTCTGCTGTCAGAGGTCTTGTACTGCACACAATTTGGGGAGAATTGAGAATGTGAACGTTACTTTTACAGTTATAAATAACAGAAACCTCATTCCCTACCCATTTATGTGATTTCTTTGCATAGGAGCGATTTTCTTCCATAACAGCAGTTGGTTATGACTTGTACAACATGTATTTCCAAAATGTTTCTGACTTGAAAGATCCATAAAAATATATATGATAGTGTCCCATTCCATTTGATTCTGAAAGATTTCCATTACCTATTTACTAATGAATCTGCAGCGAATTGAATACAAAGGTATTGAAAAAGTGTGACTGCTAAAAGTAGCAATTACTTCTATTAAAAAAAAAAACCCAACCATTACAAACCCCAGAGATTTTCATTGTAGAAAGTCCTGTTCAAAGCTCATTCTTAAAGCCTGTATATATATTGATATATGTTTATATATGGATTGATGACAATTGTGATGACCAAGTGCTACTCAAATCCAGAGTAAGAATGCAAGATTTACAGTACACTTGGCTGACAATTGTTTCTCTAAATTTTATATCATGGATATTATACCTTAATAGCTAAAATTAAGAATAAACTAACTTTTTCCAGTTTTAAATAGTTTTACTCTGTCTTCTGATACAGCAACAAAACAGAATTTTAAACATGAGTATTAATTTAACTAAACAGCAACAATATCTTTATCAAGGATCAAAAACCTGGCAAAGATGCCCATTAAGGCTCACAAAAAACATTCCACAAATTGAGCTACTGTTAGTCTTCAGCTTCAAGACGCAAAAAAAGTTTTTAAGATACCAATACTCACTCCTTTGATTTCACTTTAAATTTTCAATCTGCTGGAAAGAAAGAATGAATCTGAAAAATCTATGGTGAAACCGTAACATCTGAATAATATTTTCAGGTTGTTTTTTTTTTTTTTTTTCTTGTGGATTTACACATTGCTTTCTTATTTCACTTCTTTGTGCCTTCTGACATTTAAAGGACAATTTTAATGATATTTAAGAGAGTTAAGATGCTAATCCTGATGGCAAGGAATCTCTTTCAGATTTTATACTATCACTTAAATTAATGAAGGGTTAGCAAGCAGCAGGAAGCTTTATTATGTTTTTCAGTAGTGGCCCATCAACAGAAAGAAAATACTTCAAAAAGCACAGAGTCATTCCTTTCACTAACACAGTCAGTAAGCATTCCAGCTGACACAAATAATTGCAAGGCATAATTCACTATTAAGTTATTCCTGCACTAAATTAGGGTACCTCAATCTGTGTTGAAGAGAGCTACACCAGCTTAAAATTGGTTGCAAACGTGGTGAATCAGTGCCTACTGTTAACACCCTGAGTGTTTTGGGAACAACTGCCAAAAAATTTTCTGGATTTTGTAGGAACTACAAAAACATCAACTATATTCAGAGGAGTTTTCTTAGCTAGAGGTAGCTTTATGGTTGCTAATCCTTTCCATGACTTTCCTCATCTGAAAATGCCCTGAGTGAAGAGAGGAAGTTGCACTTCTCTGTCCCTTACCCTGCAACCATATCTGGACTGTGGTAACTCTTTTATTGTTGTTATTATTACCTATATTAAATAATAATTTAGAAGACCATTAGCATGTGCACTGAAACCACAATGGGAATTTAATCAGTACAACTGCAATTCTACAATCTGGAATACGCATATCGTAAGGGATGAAAATTTTCTTGCCCTGAAACAAAAGTTTCAAGACATCTCAAAGTGAGGACAGGTGATCAAGAGCACAGCTTAAGGTAGTAACTTTAGCAGGAGATTCACCGGCTGCAGCCAGACCTCATTTCTTGAGGCCTGAAGTCAAAGGGACTGTTAAATTAGCTCAGTGGTTCTGAAGCAGTTTCTCCTGAAAAACACAGCACAGCCCTTCTTAGTCTATGTGATCTGATGGCATCACATCTCACCTTCTGTCACCTCACTGCATGTCAGCCATGGTGAGAAACAAAACTTCCTGTAACCTACTGGATTTGAAAGTTCAGAGTATTTCTCTCTAAATGAGGTAACACCCTGATTATGTGCTCTGTGCATCTGTAATACACTTCTATATTCTGCAATGTAATTTCAGAAACTTTGACACACAGCAAGGAAAGGCTGGTAGTGAATGCAGTAATAACGTCAGAAAGAGGGCAGTGTTCAGCCCCTTTGACCATAGCTTAGGATTCCTATTTTCATTTATTTCAAGTAAATTGGAGCTTCTCAGGACATCAGTCATGAGCAAATACCAGATCCCTGTGATTTTTAAGAGGAGCGTCAATCTAATACAGCTGTATTTTATTTTATCATCATTACATTCAGACATGGGGACGAAGATCAAGTGCATTCCAGTCAAAGATAAGTGTTGTGCTGATGTAAAAAGGCAATAATTAGCTTTAGAGACAGTCAGATTAAATTAAACATGAGTTTCAAAACAATGAAATGATATACCTTGATTTAAAGCTGTCAGGTGGCATCAGTTCCAGTGTATGAGCTGGTCCATACAGATTAACTACAAACAGCTTTATTGTTGGGTTTGTTTGACCTGCCTTTGAAAAAAAAAAAACAAAAAACAAAAAACAGGAGCTTTAGAGGCACTGAATCAGTGACAGTGAAATAGAATCACTCACTAACATAATTATCTTTATAATAATGAGAAATTATTACAATTTAAAAATCTTAAATTTTAAAAGATAGTTTCACAGCCATATGAACTACATAGTTTAAAAAAATCAAGTATTAATTCAGTAATTCTCTCACTGCCCTTTACCGATGGCAGACCTTTCTGTACAAGGGACCAATGCTAGAAGTGGTTTGGCCCAATTTAGTCAAGCCAGCTGCAAATTTGCATCCAGTTCCTAAACTAGCAGTTAAACCCAGCCTCCAGCAATGTCTTTTCCAGACAGTATTGTTTCTTCTTCCAAAAAGGTCTCCTATATCTGGGATAACATTCCTCCTTTTCCTCCTCTTTCTTTATAGCTTTCTCCCAGACTCCCTTCCCTGGCTTGTTTAGATGGAAACCTCTGGTTTTGGCCCTGTTCAGGACCCAGCTGCTTTGGCAGGCCAGCTCTTAAGAGAAACAGAACGCTTCTTGTTGCTAAAGGGGAATAAAATGGCAGTTTGACATATATCCACTGGGAAGAGTCTGATAAATCCTGAGGACTTACAGGAAGCTGGGATTTGTCCGACTCCAGGTAACATGGCTCATTACTAAGCAAGGTTCCTGAGATGAAGAGAAAGGACTGGAGATAAAAGGCAAGGCTCTGCAGGGATGGCTACTAGTTCCACATGCCTGTCCTCACCATATTATACTCAAGCTACTTTTTCATGTAAGTCACAGGAGTCAAACAACACTACATAGTGTCCTTGGGATATGGGGGATGGAAAGTATGTCTCTCAATGGGGCTGACTCTTGTTCAATATTGTAAGGCCAAGGTGAAATCACCGATTCTATGGATTTAATCATAATAAAATACAAAGTTGCATATCTGGCTCTTCACGGGGCTATTTAGAAATGAAGAACAGCTTGGCTGAAATATACCCACAAATTCCCTTTAGAAATTGGACTGATCTCAAAATAGAGTCTGAATGATGTATCCACTCATTTCCGAGTGGTATGGGGACAAGAAAGTGGTATTTGTTTATTTGTACATTTTTACTAGTGGTTAAAAAAGTTTTGAAAATGGATTTAATCAGACTCCTGGAATTATTCCTTTTTTTCCCACAAAAACTTTTATATTTGCCTCAGAAGAAATGTGGTCCTTCAAAGGCATCCATTGCATGAACACATCTTACACAAATGCAAAACTGTGGAAGAAACTCACTAAGACATCAAGTCCTTAGGACGCAACTGTAATCTATTTATATCCTTTGAACCCTACATTAACTGCATAGTGGTATCCAAGTACTCTCATTAGGAGGGCTGCCATGAGTAATTGCTATCCAGCGTATGAGTTGTAGAGACACCCTGAAGCACGCCTTCGCCGCGGGCATGGCCAGATGTGTGCCAGCCCCACACCACCAGCCCTGCTCGGGACGAGCCTGAGCTGCTCTCCCCCAGCAGAACGTCCCTGCTACCAACGCCCGCGGCGTGCCCTGCTCTGCTGCCTGGGGACCCCTGAGCTACAGCTCTACAGCAGTGGCCTCTAGCTCCAGCCAAGGGCCGTCCCTCCAGCCCAGGAGGTGCCGTGGGCAGCGGGGCCAACCCCCAGTGCTCCCGCAGCCTGCGCTGGGTTCGGGCAGCTGAAGGTGGTTTTTCCACCTGAGCAGAAAACTCACATCCACACCTCCTCCTCAGCGGTGAACAGCCTCAACCTCTCTACCATTCTCCTTGTGACAATTTAAATAGCACAGATTTTGTATAATACCCAAAACGTTTGCTTAGTAGTGCAAGAGCTCTTTACATTGAAATCCTACTTTGTTCTCAATGTATTTAACAAAATTTAAACTTAAATTTTTGTGTTTTTTTTTTTAAGAATGCAGTCTGTTTGTATGATATGTACATAGATGTGCATGCTCCAGTATTCATAAACACATGTGGGTTTCACTTTATTTTTTTAATCATATATATAATTATCTCCGATGGTTTCATTCTATAATAAAGACCAAACATTTTTTTCATCTCTGTTGCTATACCACAAGCTTCATTACCAATTAATGATGTTTAACGGGTAGCTAAATTGGCATTAAATGGAGACATTAAATAAAGCTAATGTTTTTTCATTAATGAGATTACTGAAGTAGTATTATGTATCACTTTTATGCTGAATTACTAATGAAATGGAATTACTCAGTACTTGTTTACAAAGCTGACTTTTAAAAATATTCCTTATTTTTTTCTTTGCTCTGTTAGTCAAGGCCTTTTGCCAATCCAAGTATGCAAACTACCTCTAAAAATAGTTACCTTATTATTTTAGAGTATTATTTCATAGCACAAATACATTATATTTATATCATGCATATTATTGTTTCATATACCTGGTACAGTCCACCTTTCCACCCATCAAGAATAAAAGGTCATAATCAAAAAATGGCAGCAGGAATAGGGTAACAGTAAGATTTTTCTAACACTCTTAATGAACTTCCCATAAAATGTCAAAGGAGTACCACATACATGGACCTACATAACCTGTCAGAAAGGAACTCAGACACTTGCACGCAAGGGATGGGTAAACTGATAAGTTGGAAGATAGTATCAGTGCTGGAGCTCAACACAAAAATGATGGCTAGGGAGGCACCTAATCAGGAAATCCCCAGAAAATGAGGAATGATTGCAGACATTATCCATGTCTGGGCTGTTCCTTCACTTTCTGACACAAATCTAAAACCCCTTCTCTAAATCTTCTGAAACTCTGCGATAGCTCTATTTTTTATATATATATTTTTTTTCTCATTTTGATGGCCAGGAAAAGATTTTATGTGTCTTACCTTATTCCAGACCAGACTGTCACATTTATATTATTATTACGATTATGATGATTGATGATGACGATGATGATGATGATGATGATGATTATTATTATTATTAATTATTTATTATTTACTGAGACCTGTATAACTGCAATGGAACATGCTCTGCACACAGCGTGTATGACTCCAGTGCAGTTGTGATACTATCTTTTTTTCTGTGCAGTCCTTCAAACATATTACCATTCTCTCAGAAGTGGTGGATTGATTTTACCAAGCCATATACCAGTGATGAAATTACTACAAATTACTTTGTCTGCTGCTCCCTCACCCCATTGTTTCTTTCCAGCTGAAGGTGTTAGTCTACTGAAACAAAAATTAATTAATATTTCCTGAAAAGCAACATGAACAAAATCAGTCTCTGTTACTGTCTAGAAACATTCCTTCCATATAGTTGAATACTATACTGAACAATGAAGAGGAGGTGAGGGCTGCGCTCAGACTCATCTTACCTTAGGATATGGATACTGCTTTCCTTTTGGATATAGACCTCCAGTAAACCGGGGAATAACCATGTTTGGTACCAGAGAGTCATTTATGGTCAGGAACGCCAGTCTTTCACCGTCTGGAGACCACCAGTGGGCAACATGAGTATGAAGAAGTTCCTCTGCAAAACCAGATTTCCTTAGGGTCCATAGAAATAACTATCACATAGTTTCCAGCTCATTCATTTGGCACTGATTTGTTCTTTCTGTGCCTACTTGAAATGCATCTGTTGTAACTGCAGTAATTTCACATCATCCTGGGTTGAATGTTTGGATAACAAGGCATATTGAAAGACCAAACTTTAACCAAATGAATACTTTTATTGACGTCAATAAATCATCTAAACGTGAAAGATGATTGTAACTGCCATATGTTTAGTTCTATTGTATTCCATTAGAAGGGTTTAATTAATTTTTAAATGATTTGGACCATTTTAATAAGCAGTTTTTTTAGGATTGTAATTTTTGTTTTTCTTTTTTTTCTTTTAATATAAAACTTTAGTATACTTGACTTCCCTGCGCTTTGGCACCTGGTAACATTCAGATCCTCACACAGTGATATTTATGTAATAATTTTTGGAGTGTAATAGCTTGATTTTCTTGTCTAAGTCTAATTGCCATCTTTAATTCTTAGAAAATTTAATTTTTCTGCAATGTAACTTTTGGAAAATCCAAACAAAACTTTTTATTTTTATACAAATTTTATTTGATTTCCAAATGAAAGTAATTCTCAAAAATGCCATGTAATGTTTTCTTACATTTATTGTCATTGTATTTCATATTCAAAAGAAACAAAAAAGAAACAACCATAGATGTAGCACTCAAACTGCTGGCATCTCAGTAAAGCAGCTCCTGACCATTTCCAAGGTCACCCTGTATAGGTCTTCTGTCTTCCACTCATGAAAAGACTTAGATTTTGTTCATTATGTATTTGATATATTGACTTGTTTGGTGAGCATTTTGAATTTAAATTTGAAGAATTTGTCTGGAAAACTAATTGAGAATAGTATACTAATGGGAACAAAAGCCTTTATGTATACCTAATTTAAGAACCTATCTACAAAACTACTTAAATTGTCAGTGGAGACTCTCCAAGATGCCAATCAGATTCTGAAAGTTTTGAAGTGGCTTAATGGGTCAAACTATCTAAGGTCAGCTGCAACAAAGCTGGGACCTATATTCAATGTCATATATTCTGGGTCATGCTTCTTTCCTCAGCTGGGTAACTAAAACCTTTTACACAGGATAACAGCAGAGAATGAATGGTGAGTATCAGATAGCAAAAATCACTATTATGTTTGTTTTAAAATACTACTGTTTGCATTCAAACAAGGTTATTCACACAAAGAAAAGCTGTTCTCAAATTCTTTGTAAGGTAAAATGCTAATAACAAACTCATACAAATGATAAAAGAAAACAAATCAGGTCAAAAGGAGGAACAGTGCTCAATTCAACTGATAATCTCTTAACTTCATCCAGACAATATTCAGCTTGGTCAGCTTCTGATGCTGTTAAAAACACTACTGAAAGTAGAGGACTGCTCCAAGATAAACAACAGTTAATGGGAAAGCAGTATAGTCATTCATGCCAACAGACATGGACATGGTCCCCCAACGTGTACAGGCAGAATTCCCTTTTACCTTGACTTTAAGTATGTATATTGTGAAAAGAGCACACTGCCTGCCTACATCCCTGGGAACCCAAAGAGTTCTCTAAGTCAGGAAATGCAACAGCTATTTGGGCCAGGGATTAATAAACTTGGAAAAGAAGAGGTAAACATCACTTAAGGAAGGCTTTAGGATATGCATCAGGAGGAAGGCTTTGGGATGCATATCACCTCCCATACCATTTCAGAAACTTCTAGTCTCAGACTAGACACCCTTTGCTTTTCCTTCTCATGACAAAGGTATGTTTATAGCTCTAGAGACAGGAAATAAGAATAAACTGGGGCAGTAACAGATGTGGAGGTATAAGATATTTGGATGAGTACACGTGGCTTCCTTTTCAAGTAAGGAGAAGCAGGTTTGTGCCCTTTTGAAAATCAGCCAGGTATGAGACACGTATGCATGTGTTCACAGGCAAAAATCACCCACAGCACATATGAAGAGGACTGTGTTTTGTTGTCAGCTAAAGAAGCTCTGTGAGGCTTTAAAGCCTTTCAGTCATCAAATATTGATTAATAAAATGTGTCTGTAGGAATGATGGGCACACACAGAGAAGCAGAAGCATAATCTCAGACAAGCATCACTGCCATTATTTTGCTAGCTGCTCCTGTTCTTTCCAAGTTACCCCATTGTTTTTTTCTGTTCCTCATGAAATATTTGCAGCTTAAAGGAACAGTCATTTACCAACTACTATGTTATCTTAAAACAAATGAAGTTACAAAAAAATCCACGTCAACCTCTTTCAGACTCTGTTTCTGAGATACACAGGTAAGATGTAATATAAAATAAATTTTAAAATCATATTGGTTTGTTTCAAATAAGATTAGCTTTGATTCTGTTTAGTTCTTAAATGTAGATCTCATGAACGCAGAGGTCCAAATCATATTAACACCCCACCCCACCCCCATTTCTTTCATTAAAATATGTCTTCAACTTCTATCTGTGTAATTCTTAGATGGGGTCTGCTCCATCCCTTCCAGACAGCTCAAATAAAACACCTGGCAAATACCAGAACTGACCACTTGTATTAGATAAACTTTTGTGGTCACTTCCAGCCTGAATTACCCTACGATATCCTTATGATCATTTGCAGACTAGGAAGGAATGTTTTTTAAAGAGTTTCATATTACATTTTGTTCTGTAGATCAGAGCTGTGTAACGATCCTTCATTATTTGTTGTTCACTGCAGCTCCATGCTGCACCCAGTTGCACCCCAAAGAGAAGAGAAAACCAGGTGGCCCTCTTCTGAGCAGGTGCCCTCAAAATGCTTGCAGAATTGGAGCCAGGATTGCCCCGTTGCGCCCATAACTGTGACTCTTACTAACTTCACTTTGTTTTAGCAAAAAAATTTCATATGCTATATTAACTTCAATGAGCTATATATGCTTGAATTATTCAATTTGCATGCAGTCATGTTTGAAGAATATGACGTGTATATAAAACTATATTCCATTCTGAAGATGTCCTTTGTCCTTAAGTTTTGAAATATGCTGCCACACAGAAGAACCTTGGAAGTGGGTAATTATCAGACACAGGCATTTATACAGCTAAGGGATGCATCATTATAATTTCAGAGTTTACTTGGGCTGAGATTTTTAAAAATCCCGGTGTAAGCTACCTGCTCATAACTACTGAAATGCCAGGAGGTATGGATAGACCATTTCTAAGGGCCACACTGAAGTTCCTTTCTGTATGGTGTAATATCGTTCCTGAAAAACATTTGCCCTGCAAAATTCTACATACGAGAAGTTATATACTTCAGGTAACAGTTTTTAACACTGAGCTATTTAGCTATAAAATTCATGAGTCCCATAGAAAGAATAATTGAAATGTGTATTAATTGTAAGCTCTTGTACCAAGATGGATAATCTGCTCCCTTTTTTTTTTGTGAATTTATTATTGTATTAAAAGCATTTTGGGTGCAGAGAGAAACATTCTGTGGTACAACAAAGAAGAAAGCTTCAGAAGCCAGAGGGTATCACAGGCTGAGCTGTCCCCCACTCCATTTTGGCACTGCTTGCCAGCAACAGCAAGTTTTTCAGGAGTCTAGCCCAGGTTGATTTAAGCAAAAGTAGGCAGACGCTGTTGAGGAAACAGTATGGCACTTTTAGATCTTGTCAAAACTCTCAAAATTGGATTCAAGCATGTTCTTAAAGTCAAGCACAATGTCACTGCCTGGCTTGAGGACCTGGAGTCTCTCATGAGTCATGCTAACACATAGCACACCAACCTCCACTGCGGCTGAAGGAGAGACATTAATGAAAAAAAAATGTGAGGCACCTGGCAGTATCATCTTTGATCACCTTTCGATATCTATCCATCATTAAAAAAGAAACTGTAGCCAATTCTGCTTCTATGCTACAATTCTTCTGTGCCTTCTATGAGGATGTTTTAACTGCACATAGATTGGCTCTGTTGTTCACAAAAGCAACAGACCTTTCTCTCCTCACTTGTGCTGTAAACCCAGAATAGCTCCAAAGGTATGAATGGAGTTATTCTAGATAAGCAAAATATACAGGGTGTTTAGTTTTATTTGAATAGCTCTCTTTGAAATGCCAGCCCCACTGAAGTTGGTAGTAAAAGCCCACATCAAGATTTCACTACTTTAACATTTTTTACATACTACCTGGTGTTCATAATACATCTGATACATTCTGGTTGAAAATAAATTCCTCTTTCTCAGAAAATATTGTTATATGCAGAACAGCAGTCAATACAAAGTATGAATAGTTACAAAGGCAATCTTGCAAGAAAATGAGAAGGCAAAGACGCAAAAACAACCTTCGATAGCATTTTTTGAAATGAATAGATTTGTGCTGTTGGGTGTGTACAAGTACCTCTCATCTGTTTTAATAAACAGATATATTTGTCCAGCTTACCTTCATATAACCAGTCTGCAATTCCATTAAAAATAATTCCTTCTTTTCCCGAAGATGTCAGACGCAATGAGCTACTCTTTACATCAGGCTGATAGTAGATGTTATTTTCAAAAATATAAATCTGTATGAGGTAAGAGGGATGGAGAGAAAAAAGAACATTTTGGTAGATATAAAATGAATGTTCAGCAATGAATACATAATTTCCTCAGGCTCAGAACAGTTTACAGAATAATTCAGCATGAGTTTTCACCAACACTGGCTTCATATTTCCTTCTATTATCAATTTGGACAAACTAAGCAAACTTTTAATACTTATGCCAAGCCAAATTCTTCCTTTGAAATTGTCTTCTCAGTTGAAATGTTTCTATTCACTTTAAGAAATATTGTTACATTTCTCAGAATCATACAGGAGACAAGTTTTATAACAGTTGAATAGATAAAGAAAATTTCCATTAATTTCATTCTATCTAATAAAATAATCTGTTGTTCTAGCTGTGAAATTAGACACACTGCTGCAAGTATGTACTACAGTACATACATCATAAATGTAAGTTACAGCTTTGTATCATGGTGTGAGAACACACTGAAAAAGCAAAAATAAATAGCAGACTTCCGTTAACTTTTCTTAGCTTGCTAACACTATTTCTGACTATGACACGCAAACATTTCACCTCAAGTGTGCTATATAAACGCCCTTTATCTTCAAGTCTAGGCTCCTTCTCCTTTTCCTGCAAGTAACAGACTAGACAGACAGTCCTTTCCTCCTTCGCTGCCACTTCTCAGCCTTGTTTGCCCTGCTTACTTTGTTGCAAAGGATTTCAAGTTCACTCATTTTGTGAGGCTGAGTTCCAGGCTCCGTGACAAAGTGCAATGAAAGAAAGATTAAGGACAAAAAACACTAAAAAAAAAAAAAATAATAAAAAAAAAAAAATAAAATAAAAGACTGGAGAAGTATGGGGATTGCAAAAAGGGCAGGAGACAAACACAGTGATGATGAGGAATGTTTATGACATGGAAATTCTCATGTACTCAGATGTATGCCAGAATGGATCATATGTCTGCCTGTCTTCTATCATCCAAGAGACCTTCAAGCACTTCATCGCAATATAATTTAGGTACATGTTGTCCCAAACTTCTTCATTGGCCCTATCCAATTGTCTGGGTTAATAAGAAACAAACATCCGAGATACTAACAAGTCAAAAGCTACAGACGTGTATAAAAAGCAGAACCACAGCTACTAGCATTTCCTACAATAATGCTCTTAATGCTTTTTGTCTGTACTCCTGTATTCCTCATTTTCCTGAGTTGTCAGTGTATGTGACTAGACTCGTATTCCAGCTATAATCATCTCAGAGTTGTAGCCTTTTTCTTTACATTTTGTTAAAATACAATGGCCACATGTGCTTACACAGCTTGACAAAAGAATCAAACTCATATCAATATTATGCACCATCTTGATTCACACTAAGAAAATGCAGCTAACAGCACTAGAGAAGCAGCACACAATAGAAATTTTTGTTACATGATTTCATCGATGTACACTGCTATACAGAGTCTCAGGAACTGCTAATATGAATTAAATATATTTCCACCAAAGACCATTTTAAAAGCCTAGTCATTTATCATTCTTTCATACTTCTATGATAAACGACTTATGGGAAAATACTAACCAGAGAGCAAAGTTTTATTATGACTATTACTGCTGTTCTCTTTGCTTCTAAATTACCATCTCAAATAGATTTCCCTATGAGTCCCTAAACTAATGGCATTTTTGATTTTTAACAGTAGCCACTTCATGATTTCTGCTGCAGAAAGCAATAAAGGTGAGTTTTTTTCAAACCATGAGCAATGCAATGTTTTTAACCACTACTGGGAATCAAGGGTAACTTGGAACAAAGTTCTTTATGGTCAGAAATTCAAAAGTCACCAATGAGTTCAAAACTGAAGTAAAAATCATTGATCCCATTAGAATAATCCAAAATGTACTGACCAGTAATTAAATTTATACTTTTATAAATACTATTTGATACATTTGAGAATTTATGGGAAGTTGACATATGACCCAGGATTAACATCAAAAGAAAACAAGGATTAGAGAACGCTGGACCTATCAAGCTTTTGAAATAATAGTGACAAACATTTATTTTTAATCTATATTTCCACAGTAAAAATGTACATCTTCTTCTAAGGTAAAAGAAACAAATACAGGTAATAACAAGGCATGATTATTTGCTTAACCAAGAAAAACGAAGTAATTTAGGCAAGTACTTGCTATTTAATTGAACTAAAAATATTCCTATCTGACTAAATTACAGATAGCGTAAGTAGTGGGAACCACTCTGTTGACTATTAGTAAGGAGTGATTTCATATAGTTGAATATCTCTTCTTATATAAACAACTGCTTTCAGGAGATTACAAAAAAAGCCTACTTGATCAAATGATTCTATTTTATTGAAGCTTCTTTAATTAAATGAGATCATTCTAATTCATTTTTGAAGATTAGAAGTATCATTTTTGCTTCTCTTCCCCCTTTTCAGGACATTTATGTTTTTAATGGTGGAGATACCCACAGTGTCTACTCTCTGCAAAGAAAAAATTTCATTTAAAGCCATCATTGCCAGCCAAAGTACAGGATTAAGAACTACTTGTTTTATGACTGAACCATGAAAAGGTCTTTAATCCTGTTATTACTAGTTAGCAGGCATTACTAATTCCATTTGACACATTTCAGATAAGTAAATATCTCAGAAGGAATACTCACTGTTGTGCCACTGATCGCCAGCTCCCTCAGCTTTATCCCCCATTCATTTCATAAAGCGGCTTTGTCTTCATCCTCTACCAGTTCTCAGCCACCCTCTGAACACCCCCACAATGCTCTTAGTGTACTTTTTCATCTGAAGTTTCACATTTCTCCTCATCACTTGTGACACGTGTTCTTTCAACTTTGAAAGCTACCCCAAAGAACAATTTTTTTCTTGAACATATGGATTCGAACATTTTAAAGTTCTTGAAAAATGTCAAAGCCACCCAGGAGCTCTCTCCCTAGCAAGCCTCGGGCTCATTGCTTATTTGAATTTAACATTAAAAATTATGAATTTATTTTCCTTTGCAAAACATTTATAAAATACAACCATCCATGTTCCTCCACAAAACTAACCAGTATGTAAATGCACATTGATGATTTAGGGTTGGTGCACTGTCAACTATTGCTCTGCACTGCCTGCAGCATTTTGAAAGATCAATATCCCCATGTTTGATTCTGGAAAAACATATTGGAAAGACTCGCCATTATGGTCAGTCATTTAATATCATCTGTAATTTTGAATATTTCTAACATTTCAGGAGGTGCCATTTTCCACACGAAGCCCACAAACTGCTGTTTGTACCATCAGGAATGGCTTCATGCACACTTACTGCAGTGATGTTACCTAAGCCCTGCACTCAGGACTGCACTCCCCTCCATTCCTGAATATGACAAAGTGCTCATCTGTAATTATTAAACTCATTCACCTCTTGGAAATAAGGACCTGGGAGTAAAAATGTTGATTTCTGCAGCAAAACAGGCAGCAGAGTTGTAATAGGAGTGGCAACATTATCGTGAAGGCTACTAGTAGTGGTCTGAGAGGCTTTTTGCTTTGCTCTCTGTAAATCCAGGCTGTGGATTCAATTAAGCACAAGTGCTTTGTGCAGCCACAAAAAACAGTCTCCCAGCTGACTTTACTGACAGAACAATGCAACCAAGAAGGACATTTCTAATAGGCATACTCACTGTGAATCTTCTTCTCAGTATAATGTTTATATGGTACAAATGTACCTCACATATAACTCTAAAAACACTGACGTTTTAGTGGATCACTGATTGAAATTAATTTTGTTCACAAAAGTGATCTAGCTCACTTTTGTCTGGCTCTTGCACATACAACACTGACCAGCAGCTAAGCATCTTGGCTTCATGTCCCACTGAACCAGCCGTAACTAGAAGCAGCATGTGAACAACTATGGTTCTACCAGACAGCAGTGAAGTGGGTTTTTTTAACCCGGTTACTGTTGGCTTCCATTTGCTTGCTGTGGCCACGACACCCTCCATGCTCCTCATGCTGCAAGAGGCAGTGTCAAATGTGAAGTGACTTTAGGAGGAGAACAGACACTGGTTTTATTTTACGTGGATTAATGTGAGCTCACCAACTAAGAGCAGAAATGGAACTGTTCTTCAGCTGAAACATGCAAAAAGTCCTATACCAGGCCCTAGAATCAGAGAACGTCCTTAAATATCATGGTCAAACTCTCCCCTTCCTGCAAAACACCTAAGTTTCTTTTCCTTGGTTCATACATTTTTAGCTTTCTTGTTCAATTTAAACATTGACACCAATACTTTCTGGTGAAAACAGTATCTGTAGAAAACTCCTTATAGTTCTATTTTATGCTGCACTAAAATAGATTTCCAGGCTTTTATTTCAAAAACGCAAAGACTAGATGGAAATTTTTATTTTTAGGTGGCGGCTGCTGCTGCCGATTAGTTGCACTATACACAGAAGCTGAATTTATGAGCCACAATTTGGTCTTTAAAATTGAGTGCAAGAGTGAACAAGTGGCTTGGAGAGAACTCAGAGTATTACTTTTCCTACAAGAGACTTAAACCCTCAAATACTGCAAGGCAGATAACAAATCATGACACTGGGATAAGAATTACTGATCAAAATAAACAAACAAAAAAATATATTCTTGGAGCAGAATCTTACAAATAAATGTGCCTAAAATCCTGACTTCAGTAAGTAAAACTAACCATGTGCCCAAAGGTTTCCAGGGTGGGGACTTCACATACTTCACTTTGTATACTGCGTTCTGGGCAATGTCATGTAAAACAAGAATTTCCCTTGCTAGTCTGTCTCCACTCAGGTATTTGGGAACAAGTAAAAGTAAAAGGGATTTTCTTAGTATATACCTGGGTCTAATTGCTACATCATGAGTACTAAAATGTTGACTGTAACTACTGAATCTTCCAAAACTGCTAAAAGAGGAGTTGCTAACAGCATATCAGACAGGTATTCTCATGAATACATCAGTGGCTTTGTGCCCAAAATGCTTTCACAGCTTTCAGGCATGACAATAAGAAAATAAA